AAAACCTTGCTTCAATATTCGTGGCAAATTGGAGAACTGTCCTAAGCACGCCTTTATTGGCCGTGGTAGGATGGAGCCCCGGTGCGGCACGTGTGGCGAAGCGGGATCACTTTTAAGTACCCCCGGGCGGGAGGAAATCAAAAACTGTTTTTTTTTTCAAAAATGCTTTTTATAAAACCCCAAGCACGCCTTTAGTGCGCATGGTGGGAGAAAAATAAAAATACAACCGCCGCGGTGTCTCAGCAACACCAACCGTGCACGTCTTTATTGACGTGGCGGGTAGGCGGCCTCTTGGTTTTTCCCCTAAACGGGGGAGACGTCGGGAGGTTGCCAAAATTTTGTCTGAAATATAGACAAGGACTTGGAACAAATTGGACTTGTGGACCTCATTCAATTGACCTAAGTAAATATGAACTCAAGTCTAAAAAAAAAAAAGAAGAAAAGAAAAAGAAGAAGAAGAGCACATAACTTGGACTCTCATTTGAACTCAAGCAAAGACTTGAGTTGGACCGCAGGGGACTATGGTTGAACTTGGACTCGAGCTGAACAAAGACTTAAATCGAACTTGTGGACATTTGAATAGCAAAGAACATGAACTGGACTTGTAATTATAGAGAGCATAATCTAATGTATAATGCTAAAATCTCTCAAATGAGAAGTGATCAAACATATAAGTATGAAACCCATGCAAAACAAAATGCTTGATCTATTATATGAGAGAGACAGTGATCAATTACAATATTCGTATTCATTATGTGATTAGTCTACAAACACACTCAAGAGGCATGCACTGAATACAACGACAAATCCATAGTGATTCGTATGCAATGATATGTCTACAATCGACAACAAGGTATTTCATTGAAATATCAAAGGGTCTTCTTACATGTATTAATCATGAATAGAGATAAGAAATGTGTGTTCATAACCTATCTACAAGAAGAGGCTACTAAGAATACAAACTCAATTACAGAATCAAAGCTTGGGTTATTTTGAGCAATACCATGATTGCAGTCAACAATGCAAGCTTTTCACTCAATATCAAGAGACTTGTAATGAACACGCTGATCTAATTACATGTGCATACGGAGATTTGATCCCTTTTCAAAGAATGTGGAAAATATGTGACCAACGAAAGCATGTGGAACTTATGATGAGCAGAAGTTCAATTATAATATGTTTATAAGCAATGATCCGTGGTGGACAAAAATCCTACATCTCGCTTAGCAACTAATGGTATGAAGATCAATGATTAATCAAAAGATTCGTGATGGATAAGTGACAAAATACTTGACTGCAAATTAATGTCAGTAAACCCCAACCAATTTGAAAGGAATGTACAATATAAATGCACTAATATGATCATAGGTGAAGCCTGAAGATCTGATATATCTACTAAGCATAGCGAATGCAGAAGTCAATAATAATCACCCATATCATCGGCAATAGTATTATGGCAAGAATATATGTATATTCCAATCTACGAGCAATAATATCATTATGAAAATCATGAATTACTTTGACTAGTGCAAGCAACAATGTGCTTACAAGTGACTACAAGGAGATTGTAAACTATAATAAGTTCACTAGCAAGCATGCATGAAGTGCTTAGTGATGAATGTAGCAGTGCTTCTGCAATCGACGATAATAGAGATACTATAAAGATGGCCCGTCCCTCATGAATATAGATACACATATATTATGTTATTTGCAAGATTTCAAGAAACATATGTCTATCCTCTACAAGTAATTGGGGTGCAATAGATGTGCAAAGAATAACATGATGAATACAACAACTACTTGTCAATCAACAGACATGGAAGAATCGGCGAGGAATGTCATTCGTCTAATAAATCATGTTAACTAACATAGGAGCAATCACAAGGATTCATAATGATTGAAATTTCTACACCTCACTCATAAGCAACAATCAACACGAATAAATATTTTGATTACAAATGATGTTGCCAAATCACCAGTCTGCATATGAATGGTATGAATTCCACAGTGCCTACACTAATAAGTTTATAAGGAGAACCTGAAATCATCAATGTAAAAGGTTCCTGCTGAGTGTGTCTTTGAATCGTCAAAAGGCCCTCTACAAATGTGTTGATGATACAGTAGTCCCCACAAGCATTGAAAAGCTGCATATGATAAATATGAGAGGTTGATGACAAAATTGATGATGCCCTATCGGCAAATGTCGAAGCATTATGACAAGTATAGAACTCCTATGGGCTATTGTAGAAGACTTCTATACATTTAATGTACCACTCTCAAATAAAATATAAATATTTCAAAATACCCCTGCACGAGTACTGTAATCTGTATACACATAGCCACACAAAACGGGAAAACACAATCTCGACCCGCATGGGCTCCGGCGAGCGTGTTATTGGTACACACGTGATGTCTAGGATTGCTGCGCGGGTTATTAAATTTGAACCCAATCATCCTAAGCAGGTATAGAGGAGTAGACAGGGTATAATTATAAAATGCCCCCAAACACCCGTATGGGCCCCGGCGAGTGTGTTATAAATACACACGTGACGCCTAGGGATGTTGCGCGGGACAATAAGCGAATTCAAGTTCAAACCCGATCCTTCTATACGGATCAATAGAAGTTGACAGGGTTCGAACTATTAAACAAATATACGGTTGTGGCGACCGATATATTTGTTTTAATACATTCATATTAGGCCTTTAAGACCTATAATCAAGAGAATTCACTAACAAATGCATAAAGTCTACAAAACCTGATCCCTTATCAGCAAGTTGATAAGCTTGACAAGGTTTAAGTTTTAAATGCCAATATTTTCAAATGACCTCAAAAAATCACCCCGATGATGGTCATGTTGAATGAAAATATCAACTGGAGGGGTTAATTTCAGGCATTTTCAAATGTCACCTCAAATATCCAAAAAGTCCAAAACCCAACAAATCCCAAATTCAAAATATTTAAAATTGAAATCAAGCCATCAATAACTTAAACAAAATACATCCGCCCTCTGCAACAGTTTGCCAAGGTGGACAAATTAAAAACTACTTCAGCTCACAAAGAGTTAATGCCTAGTCAAAAATATCATTAGGATCCATTTTCAAACAATCTCATGCCAATAAGGACGTGGTACGTGTCCTCTAATCGGTGGTCTGCCGCCAAATGGCACCGCAGGATAAATGGTTATGATCTGGGGCCCTCTGAACCGAGTGGTTTTGCCGCCAAATGGCATCACGAAATACCGGTTATGGCTAGCGTCAATATGTTTCTTAGTGGCATCAAATCCTTCAGATATGAATTAATAGGATATGATCAATAGGGCACAAAGCCCTCTATTAGCTAAGGTGGATTTAAATGTCCCCTTAGACAAACATTCACCCCATGTTTACAAGGTACCCTTGGACGAAGCAACCCATGGCTGCCGACAAGGATCCTTCTGTCAGATTGGGTCGACTACCTCCTCTGACTAAGTAGACCAGGGACCATGATGGCCCGGGACGACGGAACCATGAGATCTTGATCGGGTCTATCATCCATTCCCCCACCATCCGCTTTAAGTGCAAGATGGTGAAATTTCCTATTTTAAATATCAAACTTTCCAACCATTTCCAAATACTCAAATTCAAACCCAATTTCCAAATCCAAATCCATGCTGCTACTATATGCCAGATAACACGTATGTTCTACGTATTTGATTGACGACTAGCCTTAATCGAAAGTTCTCTCTCGTGATCGAGAGGGGTAATTGACTATAGGGGCTTGCGCCTATTGGAAACCAGAACTCAGATCATAAAGTCCTCACAAAATGAGGTCGAAATCTCTGGGTAGTGTCTTATCTACAAACCCATCAGCCTTCCAAAATTTACCCCGAAACTTAATTCTGTTAAAACTCCTCGCAAAAAGAAAAAGCACAATCAAACAACATGTGAGGGCGGAGGTCGGTGCCGAATTTTCGGTGCCCACATCTGATTACTCACTTAAGAGTGTAGATTTATTAGATTTGGCCTATGTTAAGAAATGTAGAGGTTGACCTTAATTAGAAAGTATTAGAAATGACTTTTTTCTATTAGATGTACATGTGAATCTAAGTCTTAGTAGGATACAATGGAGAAAAAAGGATTCATGTTGACTTTTCCATTCACTAATGGCGTATTTCGTTAAACACTTGTTTTGAAAAATGACTTCTTCATTTTTGTTTACCTTGTTTGTGAAACTAGCAAGTTTCATTACTTTTCAAAGCATAATTTCTAACTTTTAGCAACCAAATGAGCAAGAAAGATAAATTGCCTAAACATTGTAGAAGAGAGGAGATTCCATGCTAACCTTTTATTGACATGAATGTTTCTTTCTCCAGGAACGTAATTATCTGGAAAGTTTCTCCATTCTAATGCTAATGGCATGAAAAGTTAAGATTCCAACCTAGCATCTTATGTGATAAACGTTTCTTTCTCCTGAAACATAGCTAGTCTAGTAGGGCCAATCTAGAGTTAATTTGTTTATTGCCATCATTGACATCATTTCTAGCGGATCATTCAATACTAGTTGTTACATTGTGGTGTCGTTTCAAAAATGGGATGCATATTTTCTTTTATGCAAACGCTTTTGTATGGTTACTAATCTAAATTGCATAAAATGTTTGTTGATCATAGAAAATATTGAGTTCTTTATACTTTTGTCATTGTAAGTTGAATCTGTTAAGCATTTTCTAAAAAAATCAACATGTACAATTGCATAATTAGAATCACTTGTTTTCCTTGAATTAGTGCCGATAAGTAATGATCCAAAATATTCCTTGCAATGGCAAAAGATGTTGAAGGAAACTCAAGAATCCCTACTTGTGATGATTATTTTGAGGCTATTCAATCAAGGAAAAGGTTGCCCTCTTCTCTGCAGGAATCTTTGACGGCTGCTTTTGCACAGATCCCAGTCTCATCATTCCCTGAAGTTCCGGGTGGCAAAGGTACTCCAACCAACTAGTTTAATTGAAGCCAAAATATTTTGCCTAGTCGCTCTGGAATTTTTGTGTTTCTCCTATGTGCTTTGAAGTTTAAACCTTGTGTCATCCTTGAACTCACTTTCTGAGACCATTTATTATTGCTGTATGTGGAAGGATATGTAATGACTATTGGGAAAATTGTTGATAATGACAGGAAACAGTTTTTTGGTAAATCGTCCACCAGGTTTTTCATATCTATTTACGCTAATTAGTTTCTTGGTGGCTGTTATCTATGATAAATGGGGCACCTTCTCCTCTCACTGTCTCACACCTAACTGCTGATTGCACCCACCTTTCTTCATCTCTCCCACCTCTCCTTGAAGGGATGTTGGTAGGAGCACAGACATGCAATTTTTCTGATAATTAGGATGGGGGTGGTTGCTAATGGTAATACTTGTTCTTTTAAAAGGGATGCCTGAGATTTATCCATTATAAATAAAAAGAAGCTGAATCAATCTGCAATTTACCCATATATTGACCACCCTTTGGAATGATTTCTATTTATCTGTGGCATTTTAGTATTGAAAATTTTATTTTTGATGCAGTGATTGAAATTCAATCAGATGCAACTATGCTTGATGCTGTTCAAATCTTATCTAGAAACAAAATCTTGGCTGCTCCTGTAAGAAATGCCGAGGCAGGGAGCAGTACAAATTGGAAGGGAAGATACCTTGGAATTATAGATTATTCTGCGGTCATACTTTGGGTGCTGGAGAATGCAGAGCTTGCTGCTTTTGCGTTATCTGCTGGCTCAGCAACTGCTGCTGCACTTGGAACTGCTGCTGTAGGTGGTCTAGGAGCTCTAGCTATAGGTGCTACTAGTCCAGTTGCAGTTGCTGGGTTGACACTTGCTGCTTCTGGTGCTGCATTGGCAGGTGGAATAGCTACAGAGAAGAGTGTTGGGAGAGATGCCGCAACAGCTGCCGATCACATGGGCGAACAATTCTACAAACTGCTACGGCAAGAAGAACCATTCAAATCAACAACAGTAAATACCCTTATTCCTGCTGTGATAGCACCTTTCATCTAAACCATGAATCTTATACAAGTTACATGCAATTTTTGTTTATTTCCTTCTTAGTTTTTCCCCCTTCATTTCAGGTGAGTTTTATTTTGTTGCAGCAAGAGATATGGTGAATATTATTGTTCACACTGATACCTGAATATATTTAAACTAGATGGAGTGTTCATTCCTAATGATGACCTACTTGTTGATGTCTTATTGTACCCGACTGAGACAGTGATTAAGTGATTAAGGGAGCGGTACAAATATTATTGGTCGGACAGCTTGAATCTAATTTTTGTTTTATAGAGAGAGATATTGTAACAGTGATTAAGTGTCTTCATGCCCTTTAGCGAACCTATATACGAATGATCCATTTAAATGTTTCGGTGTGTCTTCATTGCTCAATTTTAATTCTACGTATTGGTCTTTCACAGGTGAAATCAGTTGTTGAGATGTATCGCTGGGCACCTTTCCTCCCTGTTGCAGTTGACAGTTACATGCTCACCGTGCTGCTGTTGCTTTCAAAATATAGATTGAGGAATGTCCCGGTAATTGATGTGGATAAGTTTTACATCAAGAATTTCATCACACAATCTGCAGTTGTACGAGGCCTCAAGCAGTGTAAGGGGAGGGATTGGTTTGATTGCATTGCTGCTCGTCCGCTATCAGATCTTGGACTTCCTTTCATGTCTTATGATGAGGTAAAATATTGGTCTTTACTGCATCAAAAATCATTCTACAGTTCCAATTCCATTGTCATGTGGAATCATGCGCAGCCTTGTGAGGTCCTCAAATGTGTTTCTATGGCATTACTATCTGAAAATAATCAAAATGTATGATAGATACAATGAGTATGTTTTTTTCAGTTTCGGACATGGAGTTTTTTTTTGGGGACAATAGTTAAAAAAAAAAAGGGAAGGATCTTACTCGTCCTTTCTGTGTTGTTTAAGATTTGAAAGAAGGGAGGCTTGCCATATTTTTCCAAATCATATGCTAAGAAGTTTAATTATATATAAAAAAAAAGGATATTTATTACTGTTTTTGGAGGATCCAAATGTCTATTGATGACACTTGACCTTAGCAAGCATTCTTCTATATAAAAGAGAAGACTTAGAGAGACTTGTTTGATTATGGAGGGAGAGAGAGAGAGAGAGAGACCAAAGTATGCTCAAAATATCAGAAAGTATCCAAAATATCTTGAATAATTCAAAAGATTCGAAAACTATTTGAAACATTTCCAAAATGTGTCTCCTCATTCTTTATTTATATAGGGCTCGGAGAGTTATAGGGAAGGCTACACTCGATAAAAGATAAAAGTATAATATTAATGACTCCTTAATGATTGCACATGACACATGGCATGAGTTGGTATATGCTTGTGTGGCTCTGTCTTTAATATAACTCTCGGTTTCAGGGTGAGTCTTTGTTAGCTCCGGAGAGTCCTTTAGAATAGTCATGCAGGATGAGTCTGGGCAAGTCTTTGAAGGCTCTGCTACAACCTCCGACTGTGAGGGGCGAGTCCCTTGAGGTGATGATAATCACGAGCTGAGGACTGTACATGGACCCCATAGGTGTGCTGTGTGCACTTCCTATAACTAGATTGGGGGATGTCAATGGATACTTGATGTCTCTGCTGATAGGGAGTGGCCTCGAGAGGTTGATCCCCATCAAAACAAGTGTAACTCTTATGCTTGGAAGGATCTGTACAATCCTCTTGATGTTTGTGTTTTTAATGACTTCTCAATTTGATCGTTTTGGATGGGTATAAGGAAAGTATGCATAAGATATTGCCTTATTATTACAATAATCTAAAGGGTCGTGCATATTCCTCATCATGAGAATGCTTTGATTCCACACACTTATTTCTCCTATAGGTACTATAGCTTAAGAGGTGCCATCTCCTTACATTGAAAGCTTAAGAGGTCCCATCTCCTTACATTGAATCTTCACTTGTAATTGACTCACTTAAGTAGGCATAAATGGTCCTTGTCATGTTAGCTATTTCTAATTCAAGAGTGTGATAAGGTTTGCGCTTCACAAGTGTAAACAGGAGCAGGGTGGGTCATAAGTGAGTGAGGAGGTGGCTACTTAGGTGAGTGCCTTTGTCATCTTGGGACTAGCAAAATTGGAGGCTCTCGTGCCTTCCGTAGTGATGAAGTTGGAGGCCAGTGTAGGGTTGCTGACTATTGCGTCACCTGCCTTATTGCAACCAATTGCAAAGAGCCTATGTGTGTTCTCCCCCTTTAGTTCTGATGGCATTACCCTATCTATCAAGTGAGCCAGACATGCCTCCATTCGATGACAACCAGAACTAGCAATTCCTAAGTAATTGTCCTGTAATGAAATGACAGTGACTTACACAGTGGTCGAGTCTGCTGTTGGACGGATTAAAGATAAGGATAATTACTTATAAGTTCTGAGCGGGCATTGTTTTAGACCAAGCTTCACATATTTGGTGATCACCTCAGAAGGCATCTAGAAAACTCATCACACTAGCGACTCGATTATACGAAGTGGATATTTTTCTTTTGGGCATGCTCACTTAAGGTTGGGATGTCGATGCACATCCTCCATTTGTTGTTTGCTCTCTGCACCATGACTATATTAGAGCTCCACTTAAGTTACTGCACTTCTCCAAAAAAATCAATGTCGAGCAACTTTTTAACTTCTTGCTTTATGGGCTTGGTGAGTATTGCGGCCATCTTTATTATTTTTTACTTGGTTTGCTTTACTCCTTGCTTCACATTCAGTCAGTGGCAGGCGATTTTTGTATCTATGCTGGGTATCTCCATAGTCCATGGCAAAACATCGAGGTTATCCTTGAGGGCCTAGTCAAGCTTGCCTCGATGTGCTAAGTTGAATTATGCGCTTATCCTCAAGGTTCTCTCTGGGTCGCTCTCTGTTGCCTGGATTTTCTCTACTATTTTAGCAATTTCCAATCAAGGCCTTAGCTCTACCTCCTATTCTAGTACTTGTTGACCTGTAACATATAAAAAAAAAAAGGGGGGAAATGTCGTGTACCTGCCCCATCCCACACGCACGACTGGTGTCGTGTCTCCGCATGTTGTTCGCACGTCGAAGCCACGCTCGACGTCGCATTGCCCACGATCACTCCGCGTCGTTAAAAGGAGGTGAGAACAATGGCCTTCGGCCTCCCTTCCACGCAAAAGCTCTCACTCTCGCCGATCTCTCTCTCTTTTGCTCTTTCTTCTTCCTGTGAGACCGGAAGGTACAACATCTTGATCGGAAGAAACATCGGAGCTCGCTCGCGTGAAGATAACCTTCTCTCTGTCGCGTCTAGCTTCGGTTCCCCCTTCTCCCATGACATTTCCACGCACAAAGCATCCGCATCCCACGCAATCTCTTCCTCTGCCAACCTCACTGAACTCTACACCCGATCTCCCCCCACCCATCGCAAAGCTTCCGATCCAGTCGAGCTCCCGGTCGAATCTCGCGATCCAGTCCAGCCCGTCGCTCTCACTACTAAAGCCTTTCGACCTCTCCACCTTGTTGACCTCCATATAATACCCAAAACGAATGAAATGAAACATCTACCTGCTGTAACCCGATGGATCCACAAATATTGCCGGAAATCCTGCAGAAATCCCGCCACTAGCTACAGGACTATTCATTATAGACGGCGCCGAACCAGTCCAGATATCCCGCTGTGATCGCGTCTCTTCCAGATATCCCGCGGCTCACCTCGATTGAACGACCGCAGATGTCGTTAAATACCAAACGAAGCCAAGGCGCTGGCAGCTCTCTCTCACGACGCTCTCTGCTTCTCCGAACTCCACATGCACAGAGCTTCTTCTCCCGATCTCCTTCCCTCTCCGCTCACATCTCCACGACCTCTTAGCTGAAGCAGATCGGAAGCCCCAACCTCCAGCCGAACTCCTGTTCGGAGCTCTTCTCGCACGATCCCTTCCCTCTCCGCCGGTGCTATGCATACGACGAGGTGGGTAAGCCTGGTACACGCTTTTATTAGCATAGCCGGGACAACTCTTAAGTACTCGTACGTGGCTCTGTACCTATGGGGAAACAACTGCTCTTTTCTTGCAATAGGTACTGAAGACCCATGCACGCCTTTATTGCGCGTGGTGGGGACAAAAACTTTACACGGCCGCAGTGTCCTCGAACGAGGGCACCTACCATGCACGCTTTTTTTGCGCGTGGTGGGAAAGGCCTAGTTTTTCGTAGTTTTTCCCTAAACAGGGTAGATGTCGGGAGGCTGCCGAAATTTCGGGTGAAAACATACCACACTCGGACCTATTTTGAACTAAAAAAAAACAAGCATTGGAACTCAAATGAACAACAGTGAACTCAGATTTGTGGACATTTGAACTTGATTGAACACAAGCAGAGGACCTGAACAAAACTCAAATGATTAATTAAAGGTCAAAACTCAAATAAAATAAAATCAGACTGTAATCAAATTCAAACCAAATTGAGTACTCAATTGAACTTGCAAGGACTACAGAAGATCCTGAACAAGCACTTGAATATATACTCCGAACTCAAATTGGAATAAGATGTGGAGAGCAAGGAACTCAAATTGAACTCAAGTTGGATCCAAACTTGACATGAGCAATAAAGAACATGAACTTTCAAGAACAACATACAAGACTCAAGCATGAGTTGAACCTTGAACTTGGGGTCCGATGGAATACATAGGACTGGGCTTTGGATGAATGAACAAATCAGAATCTAAAATGCACAGTTGTCCAAGCTAACAACAAGTTACAAGTGGGAGATGAAATCCCGATGCTCATGAAAATTGTATGCAACGAACTCCTACGACAGTCCCTACAAACACTTGTTGATTGAAGAAGACAAAACTGCCAATTGATGGCGGAAGACCCGTCCCAAATGCAAACATCAAACCACTTGAGATTGGTGAAAGGTGGACATGATGCAGATTTAATACTCCTACGACGATCCCTACGAGGTCAAATGAACTATATTGGCAAACAACAGTAACAAGTTGCAGAGTTCATATGCGACTGCCATATGTGTTAATATGATCTCCAATACAAACAAATGCTTGTAGATTGAGATGACAATACTGGCACTTGATAGTGGAAGACCCGTCCTTGCAAACAAGTACAATTGATGCCCACCTGAGATTGGTGAAAGATATATATGATGCAGAAACAACGAATCTTCTACAAACACTTCTAGGAGGTCGTAGTGGATACAACGGGTCCCTGCAAATGAATACTTGTGGGTAACAACAGTAGTTGTATTGTAAGTATAACGAACCACTGTAGACACAAGTATAGATATCACCTACGAAAATGGTGATTAAGATCTTCTAGTATATTGGGTACGAGGACAACTCGATCTATGAAAAAGGACACCCCCTGGCAGAATGGAAGAGATGTTTGAACAAATTGAAACTAAACTTTCTAGTATTCCAAAATTTCTTCTTGACCCTATACTTAAGAAGAAAACATTGGTTGCATCTAAAAATATCAGAGACAACAAGTTTACTACACTAAAGATCTTGAAAGGAGATATTTTCAAGGTAAAGCAACAGAATTCAGAGTCCAGAAGAAACTCTTCCCTGGTGAATGAGAAAAGGGGGAGTCAACATCAAGATGAGGAGATGCCTCATAACATCAAAACCATAATGCCACCGGATCTGCAACACTTATACAAGCAGACAGAAGGCGTCCACAACTTACAATGCCTGCCATCGGATCCGCAACACTCGTACTAGCGGATAGAAGGCGTGTATAAGCTCTTAAATGAAATGTTGTGTGTACTCAAATGATGATTACCTGCACAACTACAATTATTTCGGTGTACCCCTGCACATGCACCATAATTTGTATACACATAGGTACATATAGGGGTATGTCAAATCAATGAAATTCTAAAACA